GTTGGCCACAAGAATATCTCTTGGAACGTCTTTTTTTTAATGGGAATACTTGTTTTAAAATTATGGCCTGCCTTTTGAGCCATAAACAGATACCCTTGCAAAATGTTTGGGTACAGATTTCTCTCTTATTCTGTTGTTAGGGTTTGCAGGAATGTTACTAGCAGTTTGTTTTGCATTTTGCAATCTGATTCATTGGTAGATTCTCACGGGGCATTTTAAAAACACAAATCATGACTAGTTAACTTATCCCAAATTTTAGCTTCATGTCTTTCAATCTTAAGCTCAAAATTAAGCAACTCATGTTTACGTCGAGCAAGCCAGAATCATTCTTGAACTAATTCAGAATTATTTTAACCATGATGAAACGCAGTTGGAGTAGACCGATTAAACAAAAGAGTTTATTTATTTTTTTTCCTTTCAGCATATAAAACAATAGCAATAATTGTCATACACAAAGGTTTAGGTGACTGCTGAAAACTACCATGCTTATTTACGTTGTCAGCTAAATCTAGAAAGCATACTGAATCAAATATAAAGAAAACGAACAGAGAGAACACGGACCTCTAAAACATCTTTACTGTTATTTAGACGGGACTAGCAGGTGCAATCACCCCTGTCACTAGTATCTCGTTTTATTCGATAACTCTGTTCACAAATTGAAACAGTTTTTGACCTCTTTATAAGCAGAGTCTTGATGCAAGCGATCTCGCTACATTCGGTATTTTTTTTATAAACAAAATATATATGAATTAATACGGGATTCAAACTTCATCCTCTTATAAGCGGTACCTCCCTGTTTTTGATCACCAAAAGGTGTGGATTGTGATATTAGCTTATCGCGTTTCGGTTTTCCGCCTTTCTTCGGAATATCTTTTTTACGGGACTTTTGCTGAAAAAGTCAGACAATATATATATATATATATATATATATATATATATATATATATATATATATATATATATATATATATATATATATATATATTGTAACTTATCTTCCCTTTCCTTTGTATCCAAATTAATAAATGTCTAGATCAGTCAGTAAAAATTGAAATTTTCTTTTCTGTTCTTTTCTTTTTTTCATTTGTACCAAAAGGTCTCTAGATTGATTGATTGTTATTTGTTTTACGTCTCATTCAAAAATTCTTCAATTATATAGATACGTCACCATATACCGATGAGGGGTTCAGAATTTTGACCTTTACTCGGCACCCAGGACCATTGCGCAGTGAAGCATTTTTAACGTGTCAACGCCTGCAGTGATACGGGGCCTCGGTTTTTTAAGGTCTCATCCGAAGGACTAGCAACTTTCACTTCAAAGTTCCGAGCGCATGGCGAATGAACAGTTGCTACCCATTTTTTTTCGACTTAAGTCAATCGCGGCGGGATTCGAACTCACAACCTCCTGATCACGGACCAAGCCGACTGAGCTATCGTGAACGGTCGAAGAAAAGGGGAAAACGCTCAATAATAAGTATATTAATAGACAACTCTGTTACAATGTGACCCCTTGTTGGCAATGCTGTGTTTATCATAGAGGGCACTGTGTGCATTTGAAGCTCTATGATTAAATATGTGCAACAATGTTTATGTCCTGCAATTGACGTTCAAATTGTTTGTTTGTGTGTTGTTTAACGTGCCTTTTGGGAAGTTTTCACTCATAAGGAGACGCCACCTCTTGCCGGTGGAGAGCTGTAAATTTGGACTTTTACTCGGCACTCAGGGCCATTGAGCAGTGAAGATTCTTTTCATGCCAGCAACTACTGCGACATGGGACCTCGCTTTATACGGTCTCATCCGAAGGACAGGTCTACAAGTCCAACAGTGGGATTCGAACCCGCGACTTAATGATCAAATCCTTACTCCGCGACTCTATAGCGAACGCTCTAACCACTGCGCCACGCGGGCGACTATAAACTTTATTAATATTGATATGATTTACGCATTGATAAAACAGGGGGAAACCTACTCCGAGAAAGAAAGAGGGAAAAATATAAGCTCTAGTGTAAGTTTCCCCCTCTGGGAAAGTCCCACCCCTGAGTACAGATTCCGAGGGGGTTGTTTTGGGGGAAATCCTACTTTGCACACCTGTTGTCATAAAAATTACATCATTCAGATGTTTTGATTTCATAATTCTATTTTTCTCGTAGAAAGACACATTTTCTGTATCGTAGAAAAATATATTTCTTTGCAAAATCAAGGTTGTAAATGCTAAGTACATTACCTAATTTAACATATTTTAGAAAAATATGGAAAGAAAAGTATCAAAAATTCAAAAGATTTCAATTAAAAAAAAAGGCAGGCAGGGAGGTCGGGAAGGGGGGGGGGGTCCATACCCCCTCCACCCTCTGGGATTTTCAGTTTTAATTTTTTTTTTTTTTTTTTTTTGCTTGTCAAAAACTTTGAGAGTCATAATTTTTAAATCCGTGTGACCCCCGCCCTTCTTCGGAAAAAAAAAATTCCTGGAACCGTGCATGAAAGGACTACTTTTTTGTGCTTTTCTCTGATCTTGGGTGGACAAAGCCATGGCGCATGCGGAACTTGATACAAATAGAAAACTTGAAATGACCTAATGGAAAAAAATGAAGGACAAACGGTTGAAATAGAAATCTACTTGATGTGTTTTTTTCTTTGAAAGACAGAGAGTACAAAGTGAGAAAAAAGAAATAGAAAGAGTAATCACGGAAATGAATGGGGATGTGTATACCTGTGGCAATTTCATATGAATTCTTACAATTTATTTATAAGATTACACGATCTTTTAGTGTACATCTTACTATTTTCAACGAAAATTCAAAAATTGAATAGTTTGTGCTCTGTTAGTGTATTTAGATTTAAAAATAAATAAATAAATAAAATTCACATTAAAAAATAAAGTATGCAATTGTATGCAATTATATAAAATTATAACGGTTAAACCGTTGCAACAACTTTATGACTTTAATAAAGTTATTTTTTACAACAACACAGTGCCCAACGTCTTAATCGTATGGTAATAACCATAATAATATATGTGTTGCATGAATTGTCTAAATAATAATAAAAAAAAAATATTTATACTATTAGTTAGTCAATATTCATATATCTAACAGAACTTGGTATTTTCGTACAGTAGTTTTCCTTCGCAGCTTCATGTATGTTAAGGCCGTCCGAAGGCTTAATATACATTAAATATATACATTTTATTTTTAGCTACATTTTATTTTTAATTTGTAATTTATGCATTAATTTGTAGTCAACTTGTGATGAGAATTCAATTAGGTATTATAATAACGTATTTTTGTGATGTCACATAACTTTGTTGATCACTTGACGGACACGAAATGTTCTCTAAATGTTGCACACAAATCGCACCGGCAAAAGTGCAAAACAAAATTATTGTGAAAAGTTTGCTACATAAGTCAATTCACGTGACCTTTGGTACGTATAAAGTGCTGCAGGCAATTATAAATTTTACTTCTTAAGAAATTATTTCACGAGAAATTCAACTTAACAACATCCAAGGGCATGTCGCAATTCATACAAAATAGGATAAATTAAATACTTCCCCCCAGCAAAATTCAGTTAGAGGACGTACTTCTCTAGTAAATTCACAAAGAAGATCTTCAGTCTATCCTTATTAATCACTTGTGTCAGTCAAATATATACACGACGTCTACGGTCGTGTAAGAGGGAGCGTTTCACATGCATTTTTTGTTATTGTGTGAATATGTGCATATCGGAAAAGCGAAGGGATAACGATTTAAATTACAAATATTCAATGTCAAAACAACACACTGGAGCTTAAAAAAAAGCAATCCAAACATCTGAATTAAACAACAACGCAAGAAAAATTCTACATGTCACGTAAAAGGAATATAAAAGTTATGACACTATCCCCATCATGTCCACTCAAATATGCAATGACTTGACTTCATATGGTATTGTGACGTCATATCTTGGTAGTTCAGAGAAGTTTCTGCAGTTGGAACAGTTTAATATTTTACAGACAGCCTTATCCTAGCCGCGTTGGTGCCTAAACAATCCTTTTATGTTTTATGATTCTAGTTACATTTGGGAAAAAAATGATCAAAATACCAGACAGAGGGGAGTTGAAGTGATGGTGCTTACTCTTGTATCATTATTAGTCCTTTTTCTTCTTTTTACATAGTTTGCTGGTGGCTTCTTTGATTTTATATATTATATGCATGTTAAAAAAGAATTTAATATTCAAACATGTATACATCAATTATTACTTCTTTAGATATTGAAGGAAAAATCAGTTTGAAAATGGGGGGGTGGGGGGGGGGGTGGGGGCTTCAGGCTGCTTTTTGTTCAGTAACAATCAAACCATAATTAAATATAATTGCACGAACGAGATATTCATAGTGATAATTTTGTAATATAAAAAAAAACAAACAAATGTTCATAAGATGATACAATATAGGCGAAGCTATTTTGTAATTATGTCGATCTTAATCGTGACCCCATTACCATATAATCTTCCTGCAGCACTGTCTAGTAAAACATCTATATTTGACAATGTTATTAAATTTCTTGACGTATATTAAATAATATATTTTGGAACGAAAGAATGGGAATTGCGATAAAATTTCATTTTGCAATATCTGGGACAATTTTTGAACTCGGATGTAATCCACGTGAAAGTGATATAAGATCTTGCTTTATATTTTATGAAAAACAACAACATAGTGATTTCTATGCGCTTCATTTTGTGTTTACTGTTATATGTGCTCTTTGCAGATTTTCTGCAAACTGAAGATGTGGTTACGATTTAAATCAAGAATTTTGTTACCCATTTCACTCTTTCTTTTCATCTTCCTTCTTTCCTAAGGACGTGAAGTATCCTTTAATAGCATCAATGTCTTTATAACTGTCTTAAATTATCCATGCATTATGAGCTTTGTGTTTGTACTTTGCTTAAGCACAAGTAGTACTTGTTTATGAAGTAGTATCAAAAGATGCGATGTTTTTTCTTTTGTTTTATACTGACTATCCCAATGAGTGCCAACGTGTTAAACTTCGGTGTGATATTAACAGTGTTACGCATAATCAATGGATATGGTATGTTTTTAGTCATAGTCTGATTTTCATGATTTAATTCTAATTAATTAATAATATGATATAATTAATGAAATTGTATCATCTAGTTATCAACTTTATGGATTGTTATATCGTAGGAATGAACTTTTTAAAGGTCACAATAATTTTTTAACGTGTGCGCACTCAGATGTACAAAGTTAAGACATAAAAATTTATCTGCATTAGCATTACATCAAAACTGGAATATCACATGTACCTAAAATGTATTTGAAGCAACTTTTTTTTTCTTTTTTTTTTTTACAAAAATGACAATTAAAAAAGGACAACCCTTGACAAAGTATCCGAAACATATTCCGATACGTTTTCCATTTTTTTTTTCTGCAGAGAATATAGCTTTAAATAAACCCACACATCAATCGCAAGCGTATTGGTCTCCATACTATGCAGAGGGTACATTCAACTCCAGCAATGCTGTTGATGGTCTAAAGACTGACCTCTCAGCTTTTGGAGGGCAATGTGTAATATCAGGTGATGGATATAAAACTGCTACCTGGTGGGTGAACTTGACGTCCATTTACAGCATCCATGATATAAGGATATATCACAGGACAGGCAATGTACCATGGGGTAAAATTATATATTGTTTAACTACATATTATTTTTATCACAAAAATCAGCCTTTTTTTATATGTCAGTTTTAAAAAATAAGTTGGTGATGTATGATGATAATATTTACTGTCTTCAAGAGATAATTAACTTTACCTTGAAATACCATTCTTGATGAAAGCCAGATTTAAAATGAAATTTATGCATGGTATTTTCTAATTTGCTTCAGTATTATTAATAAAATATTCTGACTCCTTGAAGAAATAGTTGCACAATGCTTCAAAAAGGATAGTTATTTTTATGAAATGTTGCTTTAAACTTTTTTTTTTTAGAAAAAAAAAAGTATATTCACATCATAATTCGAAGTAGTCAACTCCTTTGATCCAATTTTTCACTACAGGAATTATTCCTTAGTGAAGAATATAAGGGATAGTTCATGTTTTTCGTGATTTTTTTTTAAGTTTAAAGAGACAGAACATGCACGAAAAAAATGTATTAAAACCTCAGGAATACTTGTAGAACATTTCAAGTTAAAGTTACACTTTGCTTTTTTTCAGATTCTGCAAATGGCTACACGAAATATTTTTTGGGATTTTATGTTTATGTTTCAAATACGACAGAAACACTCGATGGGCATTTATGTTTTCATGACACAATCTATACCACATCCACAATTCCAGCCATCATTGACATACCGTGTCCTGTACATGGACAATTTGTTATCTACTATAACGAGAGACCACAGAGATCAGCACATTCTAAACTGTATTCAAAATACGCACACAATGATATATGTGAAGTGGAGGTGAATGGTATGTTTTTTTTTTTCTAGCTCTCATATGAGCTCTGTCTTATGTATTCAGGAAACACCACGTAATTATCCTTTTTGAGGAACCCTTTTAATATTTGGTCTAGGGAATAAGAGACATGTTTTATTTCTTTGAAACCATTGTTCTACAGCAGTGCTTTGACTTAAAATAAAACGTTCTTAATTCTCAAATTAGATTCTTCAATAAATGATTAAATTATGAACTCGATTTTAATTCTTTAAGAAAATATATCAGTTCATTTACTTTAACCAGATTATATTCCTGCTATTTAAGGCTGCAATAAAACAGGTTACTATGGACCTACTTGTTCCTTCCCCTGTCCTGACACGAACTGTCGTTATTGTCATGTAGAGACAGGTGCTTGTCAGGGATGTAAACCTGGTTACAAGGGACATCAATGTGAATTACGTAAGTAGACTACAAACACATCAAAATTCAAAAAAAAAAATGCTTTCAAGGCTTATCCAAAATCCGTTTTTTTTTTTTTTTGCTTAAGCAGAGTAGTTTGAGATGAAATAAATACAAACTTTGAGAACAGGAATTGCTAGTAATATGACAAATAGCTAGTTTTGAGTTTCAAGGGTTTTCAAAATACATTTCAAAACATGTCATAGCATTATTAGTCCCCTACCGGTGAAACCGGAGGGGACTATAGGTTTCCTCTGAGTCTGTCCGTCCGTCTGTCCGTCCGTCTGTCTGTCTGTCTGTCTGTCTGTCCGTCTGTCTGTCTGTCTGTCCGTCTGTCTGTCTGTCTGTCTGTCCCTCTGTCTGTCTGTCAGTCTGTCCCACTTGGTTTTCCGCACTTTTTTCCTAAACTTTTGTAGGTATTGAGCTGATTTTTGGTATGTGAGTGTATCTTGATGAGTTACAGATCAAGTTTGCATTTCGTTCCGCTTCATTGATTTTTGACGGAATTACGGCCTTTTCAATTTTTACGGGTTTTCCGCAATTTTCTTCTAAACGCTTGTAGATATTGAACTGATTTTTGGTATGTGGCTTTACCTTGATTAGATATAGATCAAGTTTGCATTTCGTCCAACTTCATTAATTTTTGACGGAATTATGGCATTTTCAATTCTTAACGGGAACCAGATTACACTTACCGGTAGTAAGTATTGCTAATGCAATACTCTCAGAATGCTTGTTAGATAGGTGATTTTAGCATTTAAACGATTGTAGAAAGAATTACATTTTTTGTATTGATAACTATATCTTAATGTGCATGTATGTTGTATTTATAACACTGTTATATGAAAAAATTTATCACGTGATAATCAGATTATTGTGTAACTTGTCATACCCGTAATTATTTAATTAGTTTGTATTAATGTTAAAAGCCAGCTATTAATCAAAGGGGAAAAAAAATCTCTCTTTCATCTTAAACAAATCTTGTCAGAAAAAACTAATTACACTTAGAGATATATCAACAAGCAAAATCTGTATATATCTGAATAGTACATACATGTAGAAGAGATAATATGTATACAAAATACTTAAAGCTTTTTTCAACATACTATATTTTTTAGAGTATTTTCTACTTTGCTTTGCAATTTATGTAAAAAGAGGCAATTAATGGCACAATCACATACATAATTTAGTTCTCTAGTAAACTATCGCATTTCTTAAAAAGCTTCCAGCACTTAGGAATATAAAAACAAACACTTAAATGTGAATATATAAGAAAAGAACATATAAGAGGTGTGTAAACAAAGGGCTTTTCATCTTTCCAAAGTCTGCTACTTTGCTTTGCAATATACATGTATGAGAAAAAGGCAATTAAACTACAATACCAAATTATTTTAGTCATCTTGTAAGGAATCCAGTTCCTTAAAGAAGCCCAGAGAATAGTGTAATATAAAACAGAGATTTGTAGAAAGACCCAGATTCATAACATTCTGATACATGATTAGTGATATCAGTGTGAAAATAACTTTATTTTGCTGGTTGTTTTTAAGGCAACAGATGAGTAAAACACATATTTCTTTAAATGTTTTCCCCTAAAGAACAGCATGACCTTATTTTTTATGATTTACCTTTTTCTATAAAATGTTCTTTTTTTAATGAAATGCCGGTATTACTTTGGGGTTCATGTAACTGCCTGAACTTTTTTTTCAAAAGTAATAGGATGAAAAATTTTATCAATACGTCTATTTCACTGTGTGCTGAAACTATGTTCATTGCTATCAATAGAATGTGGCGATGGTACATATGGACAGGATTGCGGACAAAAATGTAGAGCCTGCCTGGGACAACAATGTCATCACATCAATGGGTCATGTCCTGAAGGCTGTGACGCTGGGTATGAAGGAACATTTTGTGATAAAGGTATTTGTTTAATAAATAGAGGATATTCAATGTTTTGTAGCTGGAAATGGAATTTATTTCACGGCTGGGAGAGAATTTTTTGATATTTTCACGAGTGCTAAGCACGAGTGAAAATAATAAAAATGCTGTCTCACGAGTGACATAAATTCCATATCCAACAACAAAACATTAAATTTTCTGTTTATTACATTTTCTTTGCTTTTCCTTTTCCTCTATCTTTTCTTAACACAGTGTCATAGGCCGTGACGTCATAATTGAGCGGTTGAAACATTATAGCTTAGCAGTTTTGAGATTGAAAACTTTGTAACATGGATTTCTCAACATATTTGGGAGGAAATTGAATATTTTAGTCTGTATCAAGACGGTTTAGTAACTATCTCTATCTTATGACAAGCCAGGACTTTTTTTAAATTTAATTTTATTTTCTTTGATATCATTTCACACTGTGACATAATATCACTTTGGCATCATTTCACACTATGAGAGAATATCACTTTTATTCAATAAATAAATCACAGTATTTCCCTGTTAAAATACATTAAAATGTTTTAAAATATTGTATTTTGTATCATTACTTTTGTTTCTTAGGACGTAAACTATAGGAATATAAAGCATACTTATATGTCAATATGTCTTAAAATCTTCATAACAGAGTGTTCAGCAGGAACATTCGGAAATAACTGTGAACAAGATTGTAATGAAAACTGCGGTGAACCCTTAAAATGCAATAGAACGACCGGGGTGTGTGAAGGTGGATGTCAACCAGGCTGGAAAGGGCTTCAATGTACTAATGGTAATTATTTCATTAAAAGGATAACTAACAGATTTAAGCTTTAAATGTAGAGTGTATTTAACCCTCTTTTTTTCTTTTTTAAAGAGATTCAAACAATTGTTTGCTTTGGTATCTGTTCACTGAATTTATAATTAAACTTCTTCAGTATGAAACACCTTCAAATAGTATACAAGACCTATATTGATGTTCACAGACGTCCGAAGCACGTCATCTTTACATATTTTTGTCAAGTAAATTTAAAAGTAATTTATGTAACGTACTCTGAAATAATCTAAGAAACGACTATATTCGACAAATTACATAAGAAAATATTTTTACTGAGATTCCCATTACTTTTATATGGAATATATGTATGCCTACCGCATGAAATAAACAGTGATCTTAATAAACAGTGATCGCGTAGCCTTAAGTAAAGGTTTGTATATTTTTGCTCCGCACTTTAAATGCAAGTACGAGTCCTATTATATGACAATCATCAATTCAGTTTAAAAGAGTATTTATTTGTTAATATCAATATTCTGTCGATTTCCTCATAGTGCGCATAAAGGTGCTGCGTGTTCAATTTTCAAATTTAAATTTAATGATATTATTTTTTTTTTTAGCTGTTTGTATCTTTCATCTCAAGTTTATGCTTTACATATAGTAACATGAAATATAGGGGAAATCAACAGGTATTAAAGTTCAAAAGTCCATGCAAACAATGCAAATAAGGTGCAGAGCAAATACGGACCCCTAAAACATCAGGCAATGGAGGTGTGAAAATCCCCTGCCAACCGTTCAAACCCACCGTGTGCTCTTTGTTACGTTCCGGAGAAAACGGAAATATCCGTAGACAACGCATTGTGTTAATAATGGCAAAATAATTAGTATGAAAAACGTCCATCAGCATTTGAATAAATTATCAATTGTATTTGCTGACAACTGCATTGTATCGACCATAGGACTTGCAAAATGAGGATTTCAAACGATACTGTTAATATTATTGTTTCATAAACTTGTTTGTCAATAGCTTGCCTCGTTTCAGAAATTGTTTATACATGTTCCTCTTGCGTATCGATTCAACTGAGATACATAAACCCCCTATGCAGGTGATTAGGGTTTATTGCTACATATATAAGTAAAGGAAGTTGACAAATGAAAAGTTGAAGTCATTATGTTTAATCTAAAACTTTGTTGTTATGTTACCTATGACGTATTTTTCTAGTAAAATATCCAAATTTGGAATAGAGTGTTAGACTCTGTGGTATCTTTTATTTCAAGCTCACAGGGATATACCGTGTCAAAATATAATGGATGTAGCTATTGTTTATTGATAACATAACATAACATAAAGATATTTTAATTGTAAATATATAGCACCAAGAAAAATGAATACATTTTATCATATTTTATTTTTTCTTTTAAATAAATCATATCAGAATGTGATGGTGGATTTTATGGTACGGATTGTAACTTGCAATGTGGTCACTGCCTGGAATCAGCTCAATGTCATCCACTGAATGGGTCCTGTTTAAATGGATGTAACGCAGGATACATAGGATCATTATGCAACGAAAGTAAATTGTATTTAAAGATGTCTAAATAGAATTCATGAATATTCTCACATTTTTCAAGATTTTATGTAATCGCTGATCATACAGCAAGTAATTGTACTAAAAATTGCGAAGTGTTGTCCAATATTTTCATTTTCTGATAAATGATTCAATATTTTACAGCTGATACGATATCAAAGGGTTAAAAAATAATTTTTAAATGTTATTTTTGTTAATTTTCAGCATGCAGTCAAGGCTGGTATGGCTCAGAATGTCAAGAACAATGTGGTTATTGTAAAGGTTATAGACCATGTCATCACGTGACCGGATCCTGTTCTGGTTTATGCGAACCTGGGTATTCCGGAGATACATGTAAAGAGAATGTCTTTTCACAACTCCTTGACAACCAGAGAGAAATGCTGGAGCTGATGAGGAAATTCATGTCTTTTAAAAGACGGAATGCACAACTTAGAGAAAGTTTTACATCTCCAACTGACTTTATGTAGAGAAAGTATTCAATAGTAAAGAATGAACTGAGCTAGTTTAATTTTCACATCAAATGCATGAGTTATAAATGTAGTATTTGGGTTTCTAAAATAAAACATTCATTGAGACAAATCAACAATGTTCAGTGAGCTGTCATTGGTAAATTTATTCGACTGATATGGAAAGTTTAGATTGAAAATTTTAAGTGGAAAAGGATCATTCTCTAGAAGGCCATTTTGCGACTTACAATGATCACAAATTTTCAAGTGGTATTTTTTCCTTCAAAACTGGTATGTAAGTAGGCTAAAGATCAAATTTAATGATCAATTTTGATTGGTTAAATATGCTATAGTATTTGTTTTGATATAAGGTCGCAAAGTAATGTACTATCGATATGGGAAAACTCAAGAGGTTTGGTGTTTTATGCAACTCCTACACATGTCATAACCACCTTTAACCAACACCAAAAGTTACAAGCAATTTTCTTATAAATATAAAAAGATTATCAATTTTGTTAAAGGTGCTAATGTCATATAAATAATAATAATAAAAAAATCTTCATTTTTACGTTAATTGTCAATTAAGTCGTTTGTTTGTACTTCATTGTCTGTTTTCAGACCTTGAAAAAAAAATACTTTTAAATTTTTCTGCCGTAGAAAAAAAAAAAAATTCACCGGCCTGTCGATAGTAGTCGGAACACTCTGGCATATGACTTCTTTTAAAAAAAATCTTCTGAAATTGGTATTAACTTCTAATCATAATATATTAGCTACCACATTATCCGTGTTATATTCATTATTTGTATTATTGACCTGGTAATGTCGCTGAGTCAAATAAATTTTATCATCGTGTTCAATGCTTCCATATTAACATGACGAAAATCAGAAATGTATTGGTTTTTTATAGGTGAATTGTTTCAAATGACCTCTCCATTACCTTTAACAATATGCAACCACATTCTTCACGGTCATTCTTGAAAGTCCACTGTGTACATTCATTAAGAACAAAAGGCCCAGTAAAGGTGGATTTCAAGCAGGTCAATATAAGCGTAGCCCTCCATACCTCAAAGGCGGTGGACCCCAGTCCCTTCTACTAGAACTCTACTTGTACATTAACACTGACGTAATTATAAACGGCCGAAGTTACACCTCCATACCCCTACGATGTATATGTGTATATTGTTGGGTTATTGAACTTATATTGGTGAAAATTGGCACGAGAAGGCTGTGCGAGCTTGCAAGTGCATTTGTACTGCCAACGAGTGCCAATATTCACCAATATAAAATCAATAACTTTATCATATAGCTTAAACTTTTCCCATTGATTTATACTAACTATTTCAATTAAACCCTAACAAAGAATTCTATAGTTAACTTTAGTTTACTATATTATACTTTCATGTAAATCTGTTGAATCTGATTCGTCGAGAAACATTTGTTAAAAAACACTATAACCCGTTGAATAATGAGGCCACGCTCTCCAGCATAGCAACAGTCAACATTGCCTGACGACGGGTGATATTCCAAAAAAAATATTGACTGCGCAGAATTTATGCGCGCAAGGTTCACTGTAATATGTAATTGAATAAAACATTCAGTGTAATATAATAAATATTGCATGTAGTTGAGTGTAACATTGAAAATTTTCACCCCTCGAAAACCATTGTGAACCTCGGCTGCGCCTCGGTTGACAGTGGTTTTCTTAGGGTGAAAATTTCCAATGTTACATTCAACTACATGCAATATTTATATAATAGTAAACTAAAGTAAATCAAAATGTCAAAGTTATCACGATAGAAAATAAAAGTTTTCAAAGTGATCACTATAGTGTCAAAGTGATCACTATGATAAATCAAAGTTTTCGAAGTGATCACTATAGTGTCATAGTTATCACTATAAATCAAAGTTTTCAAAGTGATCACTGTAGTAAATCAAAGTTTTCACCATAGTAAATCAAAGTTTTCATAGTGATCACTATAGTAAATCAAAGTTTTCACCAAAGTAAATCAAAATTTTCATAGTGATCACCATAAGAAATCAAAGTTTTCCTAGTTATCACTTTAGTAAATCAAAGTGTCAAAGTTATCACTATAGTAAATCAAAGTGTCAAAGTTATTGAGGTTTTTGTATTGAGGCTAATAGGTGCTAAATTATTAATTAATAATTTGAATTTCTTGTGAAAATAGAACCATCTTACCTAGCCGATATTTTTCATAAATATTGCCGTTAAGCGGTTGACCAGACGATTTTTTTTTGTTTACAACGGGATGTACGATATTGAACGCTCGTATTCAGAATGTTTTCGGACAGTTTGGAGACTGTGAGGGAGATGAAAGCCTGGTATGGTCCCACAGGCAATTCAGGTATAGATTTTTGTATATTTCTAAAAGAAAGTATAAACATGTATTTCTTACTTCTATACTTATAAGTCTTTATCTTTATAAACATATTTATCGGTTGTATTTACTATAGAGTATAATGGTGGCAGATATTGGCAGCATGCAGTACCCGCAACGTTATTCTTTACAGGATACACGATACGATAGGATAATCGCACGATACGATAGGATACACGCACGATACGATAGGACGCACTCACGATAGGATAAACGCAAAACACGATAAACGCAAATTACGATAAATGCAAAACACGATAGACCTGATAAACGATCTTCACGATAGGATAAACGCAAAACCTGATAGGATTGTTTCAAAATGCAGAACTTTTTTGACAAGACGAATAGATTCTTTTGTTTGATATACTGCTGTATGTTAATTAAAATACCTGCAATGCTGCAAATCTAAATGATAAAATATATTTTAAGTATTATGAAAGAACACGTAAGGTCACTATGCTTAGTTTACAAAACCTCTTTATTTATTTTTTGGCAATAATTTAGTGGATCGTTGTTAAACGCAGACTGTAATTATTTTTGATTAATTCTATTCAGTGGTGGAAATTTTCGAATATTTGTGTGAATGTCGAAATTCTCAATAAGGTTGAATTATGAATCGTGTAATTACAGAGATTTTAACATGATGGTTATTCAAAAATTCCGTAGACAGGTGTTGTTTCTCACACGTACGATAATTCTATGAAACTTTATAAATAGATTTATTATTTATATAAGGAATATATATCTTATAAATTTATTTACAAATAATGATATTTTCTCGGAAGAAATATATGCAGTAAATTAAATATTTATATTCAATGTCTGTAAAGTCTGCGATGTATCCAAAAATCGCCATTTAATAGAAATATCCTAGGTAAAGAATATTATTAGGAGACCGGCCGAAAGAAAGGGTTTATGAAATCGGCTTTAACAATATTAATAAATTTGACATCATAGTTCTATCATCAACTTCTACATCTCCACCCCACCCCCCTCAAAAAATGATTTCCGGTGTAGAAATCTAAATAAATGGTAAATATAATAACGCCCTTCATTAATTCTGGTAAATTATGTCATGACATTTTATTTGCTCGTTCAAATATTTCTTTGTGGATAAACCAAAATTAAATAACTTCCTATGTTTTTGTATGTGTAACGGTGTTACATGTATAAATATTTTCACTCAAGAGAATTTGTATCTGTTACAACTACGTGTATTGCAAGCTGTTATATGTGTGAACATTTATATATCAGATGATTCAAACCTCGTATATGCTTGAATTATAAATTAAGGTTAGATCCTTTTTGTTTAAAATACATAAGAACACAAATATACAAAAATAAATATCTACAAAGTGAAATGCGACTATTCGGACTAAATAATTATAAATTATTGATATTAGAATTTGTTGTAACTGTAACTAAAAAAAAAAATAATTCAATATACATTGAAGACGGCAAATAAAATAAAACATTGTAAATTATGTCTTAGTCCCGTTTGAGGAATATTCGCCGGTCGGGGGGTCGAATAGCCATAACCGATTGAAAATGAGAAAAACAAGATCCGACCAATTAGCCAAAAATAATATTGACTTCTTTAATAAAGTCAAGTATTGAATGAAATCGATTCATACTATAAATTAAGTCCGGTGCATTTACTCTCTTGCGTAATCACGGTGGAACCAACCGATTTCTTTTATTTTTACCTTCTTTTAATACCGGAAAAAAAATAATGCTAGGTAAATCTCATAGTTTAGAATGTTATAATTATTTCACCCTTTTCTTCGATAAATGAAATTTATCAGAGAATTATCTCTATTTGTATTACACAGAAAACCCAATTACCCGGAATTCCATGTACCATAGGTGCAGTATTTAAAAAAAATGTTTTAAAGACTAGGTTATATAAACATTACACAAAAGAAATAAATCAACTGATTGAGCTAAGCGACTTTATTTCATTAAAATTGATTTAAATGTATATGAATTTTAATTTATAATTCAAGCATGCATGGAAAGAATTTTTTTTAAAAATCAATAATTTGTACAATTATCTAATTTTCTTAAAATAAAATTTTTCAATTCTTTTAAGTGTTGTACGTACATCTTACGAACAGAATCACGAAAATAAGTACATGCATTTCATTAGAACCAGGTAGTTTTCAAGGTAGGTAAATACTTGACACCAGGTCCGAGAGCAGCACATGTATGTTGTCAGTGAATACACACGCGCCGAGATGTCACTTGGGGGGGGGGGGAGTGGAGGGGGTGTTTTGACCGCACAGGTAGACAATGTACTGATTAGGGAGGTACATGTATAGATGTCAGTTTTCTGGTAAGGAAAGCTCCTGGATTTGTCACTCAGATACACTATATTTTCAGGGGGTTTTTTTCCACGTACGCCGAAATAGGTAAGCAGTTACGGTAATCATGTTTTTCTGTAAATATTTTTTTTCTAGATTTCTAATGTCAGTGAGAATATAAATGAAAAACTTCTATATAATGGTAAATATCATAGTATGACTGTGAACACATTGTGGATTATAAGCCTTTGAACAAGGGCGCACCTGCAGTTGTGGTTCAAATTTTTACACTGGGAAAATGTAATTTATTTGCTCATTAAAGAAAGAAACATGCTGTAACATCCAGCTTGTATTTTTCTGAGATATGCACTGAAATATGCATTGCAAGATGTGATCTTTATTATTATAATTATTCGTGTACAGTAAGAGTTGTCTAATCCGAATACCACTGGTTGCATGAAATTTGCAAGATTAAACAGCACTCCGGATTAGACAATATATTAAACGATTGATTTTTCTGAAAGGGAATTAAACA